CCAGCCAATCACAATGCGTTTCCGCCTCTCTCTCGGTCTTAGTCCTCCCCGAGAAAAGTCTTTTCGGTGGAAGAAGCGCGGGCTCATTTCCCGAACAGCGGCTGGTAATCGAGCCAACTGAACATTCACGAACCCTGGGGACGAGAGGATGGCGAAATCATACAGTGAATTCTTTTTAAGTCCATTAATATCCCAGTCTTTCGTCGACCTTCTTTGAGACAAAAAGTCCAATAAACGTGTGAAACTCTAGAATGATACAAATTGTTCAATGAGATATTGAAATATAATATTATGGCAATACTATTTGTCTAAGACTGAAAAAGAAGTAAATTAGATGTATAGCTAGCTTACTATCTATCAAATCCCCGGGTGGCTCAGCCGGATGCGAGAGGGACCATCACGGTGTGGACACAAGATAACTGTTTTGTTTATTTAAGATACAAAATATTAAGGAGCTACCGATATCAAACCAAACTTCCTACAATGTTGAAAGATATTAGCCATCTCGATCCTTTCATTATTCGCAAACTTAGTAATTTACCAATAAACATGAACTAAAGAACTGAAACTCAAAACACTGAACAAAATCACAAAGCAAAGAGCCATATGGCAAAGTCAAATGAAACTGATAAGAGAACCAGTATTGGAATTTTGGTCTTCAAATTGTTTACTTTAAGAAGAGCTCATATATTTATATTTTTATCATGGTCTATAACACCTAGAGTCTGAGAAATGGGACGGGATTCTTGAGAAGGTATTCAGTTTATAAACAGTAAATAATTATACAACATGGCATGCAACGTGAAAAGGGATTAAACTGATCGCAAATAAATCAAAGAAAACGCTCAGGAGAGCAAGAGGATTTATGTTTCTTTGCTTGTATGCTCGTTTTAGAGCAAGAATAACAAGAAAACTTCGTAGATTTTGCGTGATTCTTTGATGAACCGGAAAACTGATTGATATCTGTATTTTTTCAAGACACTCAAGTAATTTAATGACTGTGAATCGATACGATACTGTCGAGACTGAACTGCAACAATCATGTAGTCAATCGATGATTAAAGCTTATTGTTTGAAAGCAGTTTCGAGCAACACTTCGCAGAACGAAGAGAAACCCATGAGGCACTGTTTCCGCTGATTTCTTTATCACATAAAATGATCTGGCCCTCAACGAACAGGCTACGTAAAAATAGTACCATGGAAACTGAAAGAAAAAAGCAAGCCAGTCTTCTCTTCGCCAAGAAGAATATTGTTCGAGGAAATGGGATGTTTTCATGATTAAGCATTCAATATTTGACGAGGAACAAAATCTGTATACGTAGAGTCGCGCAAACGAAACATGAAACGAGCTTCCTCTGGCAATGATTGTTTCTATTTTTAGTTTCACTGTTGTCTGATTGGCAAGCACTCGATCAAAAACCTGAATTTTCGCTTTCTTCGTCACTTTCGAATACTTTGCTTGCCACGCCCGCGTGGAACTACTGTATAGATCACTCAAGGCAGGCGGTGTGGTATGCTCTGAAGCAGTTACCGTTAGTTTGAATTTCGGACCAAATGTTATTTTTCCGATACCTTAGTATTTCAGACCTGGATCGATTTTTTCAGAGGCAATAACAACAAGAACACTGTTTGACATGACTATAACAATGTATTACAGTATTGCAAAAGCTACTTGAATTTAACTATTGATTCCTTTTAAAATTAATTTTTAAAATAATTTGAAATATGTTAATCATTGCTTATTTTTAACCATCAGTAGGATTAATTATTCCGGAGACAAGTCTGTCTCTCAATTCAAAGCAAGATATAAATGAAATTAATTGGATGTTAATTAAATAGTCAGTAGAATTCATTAGATGTTATAATATGGTCTTATGTGATTGTAGCTGTAGGCGAGGCGACGAATGATAAAATATATACCCAATTCCAGACTCCAGATCCATAAAGCGCAATACCTTGCTCTATTTCAGACCAAGAAAGAAAAAACCCAGACCCTTTGGCACCGCACATATCTATAAAGCTTGTATTAGAGTGTACCCCTAGACTGCTGGCTGCTACGTGTAGCACACTAGGTCAGTACTGCAGTATAGCATGTGTATCAGGCATTTCTTTGGGGGAAGGAGAAGAGAAACGAAAAGAAGGGAAAACGAAGGGAGAAAACAGGGCATCTTCTCTTTTCCTCTTCCTTCTCTTGCCTCCCTTCCCCACTTTGCCTGTACAAGGCCGATACTCACAGTATGTAGAGGAGACTGAACCAAACGCGTTTTACTGCCTGGTAACCAAACCAAATTGATTTTCCACCTAGTACTTATTTGAGCAGTGTTCACGTCGTTAAAGCCAAGCTAGGTTTTTGCGGGCTGTTTTTACAGTACAGATCATTTGACTGAGTAGTTCTAACTTTCGCTCTGGAGTGTTCCCTGAAACAGCCGGTGTGCAGGGAACATTTTAAATCAGGACATTTCTTGAAATCAATGGCTAAAATAATTTGAAACAAACGCTTGTCAGTAAATGGATATAGCTATAAGAGAAATGATCTTTGATTGTAATGTGTATTGTTAGTTGAAATATCCTTTCCACAAATCACTAACAAGGCAATGTATTATGACTTATAAGATTATTACTTTTATCATGGTTAAATCATTTTGATGATGATATCATAATTATCATTATTACTGTATGACGTTCGTTCCTTGATAGCTATCCGATGTCTATGATAATTGTATAGTATCGCTTGATACACAGATACACAGATGACTAACGCAAAAGTGAATGCCAGAAAATGCTTCACCTTTTGTTTTACATACCGCTATATGCCGCACAAACAACTTAAAAATCGTGGGACTTACATACATACCAGTAATGGACACACAACGAAACCAGTGATGAATTATGTGTGAACGAAACGCTCTACCGCGAACTTATTTTAAAACAGCCGGTGTTGAGTTTTAAGCAACAAATGCAATCTTTAATGACCGAGAATGGACAAGGTTATGCATTTTGGACGTTTCGGCAACCAAGCTTAAGGGAATAGAAAGGTTTGAAATACCGCGTTACTCTTTCATAGAAATAAAAAAAACTAAACAAAAAAATGTGAAAATAAACAAGGTCACAAACAATAAACAAGCCACTAAAGAAATTTTAATTTTAAACAGAAACTGACAAATGTAACTATCGATAAGCCAACTAACTACGAATTAAACTTGAACCATACATACCATACACGATAAATTCCTAGATATTTTTAAAAGATATTCTTTCGTAACAGTGATCAAGACTGAGAAGATTTTACATTATTTTCAAGCCCATCAAACCAAATAAAACTTTGTAGCACCAACCAGAACGTCAGTATTTTCAGTTATTTAATAAGAGTTGCATACTTAAAATTGCTGTTAGCCACTCCTCAGTATTATGTGGAAACTGTACCGTTCTCAAGAGGTTTCGAAAGCCAGTGCATTAAAGTCATTCCAGTCTTAAAACCTGATGGCAACCAAAAGGACGTTTCCTCCTGACTTATACAGCTACTGTGTTTGAAAACTTTATTGGAGTGGACATAAAGTGAAATGTTTACTGCCAATAGCATTTAAGGGAGGTACTCTCGGTGTTATTCAAAGTCACATAATAACAAGGTTGAGCCTTAGCAATTCAAATGATTAATTACATTGTTTGTTCGGTTAAAGAGCCCATGTCCTGTACGTTTCATGCAAAGAACAGCCTGTGAACTCATAGTGTACCAAGCAAACTAGCTTCTAAAGCTACAAGCAAATTGTAGGTGTTACTAAAGTTAACTCTAGTTTTCATTCAGGAGGGAAATTCGACTTTTCATTGTTTTTAATATTGATGAAATCAGTGAAGTTGAACTCTTAATTATTACTTGTTGAGAAGTCAAATCTCCGTGACGAGCAGGTATATATATCTAGGCCGTGAGAATTTACTGGATCGTTCCACCTTTGCGGCTTGTTTATCCGCTTTCAATACACAAGAACTTGCTTTTAATGCGTACATGTATATTGTGAAAACCGAAATCATAGGTCACTGTTTGGAAAAAACATCTGCCAGTCTGCCACTCATCTCCTGATATTGATTGATTCGCCGTTGCCTCGACAACGGGACTTAGATAATCAGAGATAAGATCGGAAAAAATGTTCTCGAGATCTCCATGTTTTGGTATATTGTTGGATGCTAGGAGTTGAGCGTTAGTTTTTTGCCGAGTTTAAATGTATTTTTGGCTGTGATGAGTAGGTGAGGTGAGGTGACAAGAGTTGTTTGGCTCTTATAACTTGACAGAGTGATGGATGGGGAGTGAAATCGGAGAACACCGCGCAGATGGTTAGCCATGTGCTGTAAAACAACATTGGTTTTTAAGCCATCATTCGCTTTCCGTTACTGTCCACTAGGTGGTAAATGAGTTCCTTTTCTTTTTTGTGGCAGAAAATTACGTTTTGAAGGACACTAATTGCCACTATTGGACGTTCTCGAAGAGGGCGTGATAAAAGGGACCAATGAATATACCCCACATTCCGATACACAAGACAACTAAGGCCCCAGCAACCAATCACAGAGTAATTAACAAACCGGAAATAAATAAGCCAAGCGGTGCGCACGTGGAGGCAGTGAGACGTGCAACCTCAGAATTATTTTTTCAGTGTGACTTTTTCATTCATTTGTGTTCTGGGTAGTGTTGTCGGGCAAGCTAAGACAAAATTACATCGGTGAGTAGATCGCGATCTTTCAGGCTAATCCAAAAGGAAAATGTCATTATTCAGCTCTTTTAACATTCTTTGACGTAAATTGCCGGTTGAATTGAAACCGTATGCGATTTCCAATTCCTAAGAGACCTGAGCGGAATTAAAGGTTGAATATTTACCTTGCCTTTGGTGAGCAGTATTCATTTTTGTGGCTGTTTTAGCGAACGATCCTGTTGCTTTCTTTAGCTCGTCGGAGTCTTCCTGGTCAGGGTAACCTTATGGAATACTGAAGACTGCCATCGGAGATTTTGGAGCGAGTTGGCTTCGCGACAAGATAGCAGGACTTCGTCTACCTAAACCATCAGCACCCGCCATGTCACGCTAAAATGATCAAAGCACCGAGAAAGAGAAAGTGAAATCTTGGCCCTTCTTTCGTGTTCTGAATAAGTGGCATGGCTCAAAAATATGAAGAAGTGGCTATGATTGGAAATGGAGCTTACGGGACCGTCTATAAAGCCCGCGATCTTCAAAACGAAGGACGATTTGTGGCTCTGAAGAGGGTGAGAATAATTGTAAACAGCGAGGAAGGAATGCCACTCTCTACCATCCGCGAAATAGCCCTTCTTAAACAGATCGACAATTTCTCTCATGAGAACATTGTTAGGTAAGCTAAGCGATTTGTTTGATTTCTCTCAAGTGATCTAAAGTAATATTTTAGAGATCTAGAGTTGCTGCTGTACCCAGTCGTCCCGAAAATCTTGCGAAACCCTCGACCCTTCCCTATTACGATATTAATCAAACAAATATTTTTATTTTATTTTATTTTTTACTTTACGTACACGAATTGTTTGATTATTTTTACACAGGCTGGCCAATTAAAACTAACTTCTCGAAAAAAATGGAAAGAGTTTAATTTCTGTTCAATTTAGCTATATTGAGACTTTATTAAAATGCATCTTTTGTTTAATCACTGCATTCCTCCAGCCAGCAAACCTGCCGTTTTTCAATACAAATGTGCTAAGTTCACACATTGATTCGCCCGGGGGGCTATTAGTTAAGATTGTATTCATTTTCGTGAAACACAGTAAGAGATTATAAGGGTTTGCTTTACAGGTACCATGCAAGAAAGTAATTTGGCTCCGAATTCTTGTTTATTCACCACATAATTAAGGGCTTTAGCATTTCAATAGAGGGCAATTCAAGCCTTCAAGGAATAGATCACTGTCTCTTCGGTTGGATTTAGAACAAGCTTTTCTTAGTTTGTTTTCCTAACGCTAAAAAGTTTTTCAGATTTACGAAAAAGTGATTGAATAAAACACGAAAAAGACCGGAACTATTTGGCTGCAGGCATGTAAGTTTGTTGATGTCTCTACACCGGAAGTGAATAACATTGGTCTAGAGCCTTCGTGATTGGCTAAACAGTTTCCCGCGACTTGGTATGGAAATTTAAACCTCGTTCTCGCGCGAACAAATGAAGACCGGAATATTCGCACTTTTTTTCTTTAATAAAACGCCGTTTTCAATGCTTAAATATTAAAAACACCTCCTCTGACATCAAAATCAATAGGATTTACAGAAAGCGATGTTTATTTAGCATTTATCCCTCCATTACACCGAAAACACACTGTATCGACAAGCAGTATTTACATTATCCCGACGTGTCGTGTTTCAGAAATTGGATTCGAGATTGATATGTGCTACGACCTTTCATTGCCTCGCAATTTTCTTGTATGAAAAATGGCAAAGACGTCCATCGCATGATTTGATTAAGGATTAAGTTCCCGTTGAGATTACTACTACTTTTGGGAGTTGTATCTCCAAGAATTTCCAAAAGGGATCGGAATGACGCAACTTTAGAAACCAGCGAAAAATTGATAGACAGCAAGATGCCTTTCATGAAGCCCTTGTAATGCCATCCTTCGGTAAGTCGTCAAAATAGTGCCTTGCGGCTCTTAGACATTTTCCCGATACATTATTTCATGTGATCTAAGCCCAGACGGTTTTTTTTGCTCATTTATAAGTCCATTGTTTAATATAAACAAAACCGTAAGGAAAACCGTGACCTTAGAGACATCTAAAAAAGCTATGTTTTGCGCGCGGCTTAAGGAGTTTAAAACTTGACACACATCCATGCCGAAACTTTCGATGCAAATTATTTACAAATCAGTGACATTGCTAATTACATGTGTAGCAACTTTCTATTTTACATTTTGGCGCGATCACTGATACAAACTGAGGTACGATTAAAATTCGCAAAATCTTTTTAATTAAGTTTTTGTTTCAGATCAGATGACGTATAAATTGGCTTATTCTTTTTCGTTCAGTCGATGATTTGTTTAGACAAAACACATTGTTGAAAAAGTACATCAAGCACCCAGTTAACAATAGAACCCAGCAGATGACTTTGGCCTTTAGAAAGCTGACGTGATTTCACTCGCAAAAGTTAAATTCTTATGTCTCATGGGCAATGACCTTCCAACTTTTAAATCTTTTAATCACGCGAAGTATGATTTCTATTTTAGTTATAACTGAAGAGTGTATGTATTTCCACCAAATTTTTGACCGATCCGAATGTGAATAACCACTTTTGTTATGTGAGTGTTAAGTTCGTTTTTTTCCATATCTTTGCATAATTGCTTCTTTTCATGAGGTCTCAGAAATGCGAATTTTAATTAAAATGTCCTTTGAAGTCAAAGCCAAGCCTTTTAAACTCAACTCCCAAGGGTGGATGGAATGTAATATTTATTCTTAGTGCAACTAAAAGAAAATAACATTGACCTCGAGTTTATGCGGTGTTGGTATGTCTTGATGGCTCCACCCCAATTTTTCTCAAAATATAAATACAATACAGCAACTGAATGAGGTGCTGACATTGGGAATGGAGTATTTAGGATGACAAGCTTCTTTTCTATGTGCTACAGTACAGGCACAATACTATAAGGCTGGAACAAATTTTGGTTCTTGCTGTACAATTTATCTCATTAATCACGCAGTTTAAAATAAGATGTATGTTGTCCTTAGTGGGTAGTGAAAAATACATTTTTGGTTACAGATTAGACAGAATGGTCACTTTTTTTTCTTTAGACCATACCATTTTATTTTAAGAATATTGTGTTTTGTTCTGCCCAGTAGCCTTTTCTCAAAGCAATCCTCCTCCTTCTACTATAAAGACACAGCAGGATCAAAAGTATTCCTCAACAAATAAGAAAGAAACAAGAGAAACAAGAGATTGTAGTTTTCTCTGCAAGTAATGTTGTTTCCTCCTTCTGTGAATGGTGTAAATTTAAAGAGATTAAACCAAATTTAGTACAGTTAAACCCCACTTTACGGGCAACAACATAAAATGGACACCTCATTCTTATGAACAGTTTGCTTTTTCCCTGGGAGAAGAACGCCTTTACAGTTGTACCTTTTCTCTAAATTCACCCCGCTTAATACGGAAACCATTTTGTATGGCCTCCTTAGTGTCCATATTAAGGGAGTTTGATTGTACTACTAAACCATGTTTGTAAGTAAACATTCAGTTAAGAAGTTTATCAATTTATCAATACTACGAGTGTAGTAATTCTAATAATAACCTGTCTAGCAACCCTCAGATAAGATGCACCTAAGAACTATAGTTTAACAGCCTTAGCACCTATGGTATACCATCTGGGACCTGTTGGCGGAATAACACCCAACGTCAGACTGCGTATCAAACACCTGGTGTTAAAATACATGTATAGAGCTTGACTGGATGGATGTTTTATGTTCAACTCCTCCCGGGAGAACTCAGTATTTTTGCGAGTTGCCTCTGACTGGGTAAATAACCTTGCCAGGCTATGAAGTTCATTTAGGGTACTAGCCTTCAAATCTAGAGTTCCCAGCTCCCTGCTCTGATCATAACCTGGAGTTGTTTGTGAGTAGTTATTCTGAGATAACCTACACCATGTTTGTAAATATAAACCCACCGGGTTATTTTCCCACCAGCTGGGATTTTTAACTTCTCACGTTCCAGTGAAAATATTAATTGTTTACACTGTTATGTTTATTATCTAGAAAAGCTCCTTAAGGGGTAATTTAAGCTTTCCTATTTACACTTTTTTTGTAGTTTTAAATCTCAGCAGGAAATAGTGAACTGATTTTTTTTGCTCTGATCGTGAAGACAGCCAGTGTGTGCCTCCAACACACAGCACTCCTAAATCTAACAGAAACATCAATGATAAAATAACGTGATTCTCTTTGTCAAAGAGTAAAAAAAAAAATTCCATAATTTCAAATCCAACCCTGATGCTTTGGATGACTACAGCTGTAAATGCAATATGCTTTACTCAACTTAGTACATCAAGTCAACTAGATGTTTTGATTTCATAATTATGTATCATAAGGAAGTGCTCTCCAGTTTCCTTGATTAGCTCAGCTGGATTTAGTTCTGCATGCAATCAATAAATAAACCCTCTTCAACTATATTTACACATGATGGTGTTTTTTAAAGCAGTTGTCAAACTGAAACTTCAGGATGTCTCTCGCAAACACTGAGTCAAAGCTCAGTGTGGAAAGACATTTTGATAAGCAGACAATGAGCTCGTCACTTAATATGGCTGCCTTGACAAAACCCTATATGAACTCTCCACTCCCAAAAACAATTTCCATAAGTGACCAGCTCCACCATGGACTCTTTCTTTGCTTGCTGAGGGTTTCTGAGCTGACTGCATGTATTTTAATTTTGGCTCCTTCCAGGATTAAGGGGATTATGTGATAAAATTCCTTGTTTCCTTTCTGAGATTGAATTGCTCTTCCATAAAACAGGAAACTGCTGACAAAAGTGAAAACTACGGGCACGTTTGAAAGGTTCAATTTTTTTCCTGTTACTATAGGTTACTAGATGTATTCCACACCAAATCACCATCACGCCCTGATGAGACCCATTTAACTTTGGTATTTGAACACATTGAGCAAGACCTGAATGCATATCTTGAACATTGCCCTCAACCTGGCCTACCAGAGTGGAAAATCAAGGTATGGGGATTATAACAAAATCTAACAAGTAAAGTTCTTATCCCTGCTTATCCTCAGTGTGCAGAGGCCCTTTGGTCTGCTTATCTAAGAAGATTGTAAGGGCCTCTGCTTGGGAAAATTCCTGTGCACGGTACAACCAGTGAAGTTCCCTTCTTTTTTTCCTTAAAATCAAAACCTCAAATCTTCTTTTTTGGTAATTTACCACTGTATCAGGGTTCGTACAAAAAATTGCAACCATTTTTCAAGGACTTTTCAAGGACCACCTACTAGGAAATTAAAAGTTCAAAGATTGTACAAAAATGCACATTCCCAGTCTACTCTAATAAGGCTTTAAGGCTTGAACTGTTTGCTTCACCAACTTCTCTACATTTTTCAGTTCACTTGTCTTAAATTGATAGTTAAACATGAAACATTGAGGACTTTATGTAAATAACCTTGAAATTCTCTGAGCTATAATTTATATTGTCTTGGACAACCAAAAAGCATCAACAAACACTTTTGAGGCCACTACATTCAAAGTTGAAGAAAATTCAAGGACGTTTTAAGAACTTGCACAGGAATTTAAGGATCTTTTAAGGAAAAAGGGAATTCAAGGACTTTTCAAGGACTTCCCCTAAAATTCAAGGACTTTTCGAGACTATTTTTGAACCCTGTGTATGTGTAGGGAGCTTAACCAACCACAATGACGATGACAACAAAAATGTCACCAAAAAAAAGCTTTGCACATGCATCACATTAATAAATATTGAAAGACGACAAATTGTTCTTTCATGATGGTTCCATCGTTGTGCTTACTAATAATGTGTGCTCTCCAATGACTCTACTTCCACGACAGCTTGAAAAAGCAATAAACTTTGGGGTGTGGTCATTGATGGGTACAGACCAAGCCACAAATATCATTGCTATCATAACAGTGTGTATTGTGATAAAGAGACTCAAAATTAATGGAATACCCCCATTAATGTGTTTTCTGGGCACTCTTCATGGGGTGAATACACTGTAAACTACAGTCTGATCAAGCTGCTTTTAAAACACCTTTTACTTGTGATAGGATATTACACATCAGCTCTTAAATGGTATAGACTTCTTGCATTCCCATCGGATAGTCCATCGAGACCTGAAGCCACAGAATATCCTGATCTCCAAAACTGGTCAAGTGAAGATCGCTGACTTTGGATTGGCAAGAATTTACAGAGATGCCATGGCTTTGACATCAGTGGTGAGTGACTCAGTCAGGCACACTTCTACCGAGACTCTTGTTATTTTTACTGTTATCCTTTTGTTTTACCTGTATGGGGTTAAATACATAACAGATGTTAGTACAATAATTATTGTTAGAAGCCTTTTATTCTTACTGGGGGAAGGGCGGGGGTTTTCTCATTTTTACTTTCCATGTTGTTTTTGTTTGTGTTGTTTGTTTTTTTCTGTGTTTTTTTTTGGTAGAGGATTTGGGTGTGTTAGATGTTTGATTGTTGTGGTTTGGCGGGGGGTGGGGGGGGGTGGGGGGGGGGGGGGGGGGGGGGGGGGGGGGGGGGGGGTGCACTCCGGGGAATTCTTGGTGGGGGTGTGCCACCCAGTCCTCCAAATCCTGACCCAGTATTTCAGACTAAAAAATGTAATTTTCCACACCCATTTTCAGACCTGGCCCCGGTTGTTCAAATATTGGATAGCCAGTGGATAAGTAATGGGGAAAATAATAGCACTATCCACTGGATAGAGATTTATCTGCTGGATAGCGCTATGCCGCCTTTGAACTACTGAGGCCTGGCCTTTAGCAGATTAAATTATGTTATCATTTCTTACATTAGAGTGCAAACACAAAAATTCTTCAAATCCAATTGGAATTTGCATATTTCTCTTTCTTTCTTACTCATTTGGAATTGAAATGATAAATACGTTCATATGCTCCCATAGTTTCCTCAAAAACCATACCTGATTCCAGACGAAAATGGGCAAAGTGTATACCCGTTTTCAGACCAAAACGGCGCAAAAACCCTACCTGATTCAGCAGCACATACCTATATAGCTTATATAAGGGAGTACCCACCGGGCTTTCTTAGCACAAATTATATCCTGTGGTGTTACCATTCAAAAAAATCTCTTAACTGAGATTTTGCAAAGGTACTATTTATTTCTTTGGATTTCACAATGAGATTCCCTCAATTAAGTACATTTATCAATATATTCCTAAGGGAAATGCATGGATATCAGTGTGGGTTGTTTGGGAATTAAAGGTTAAAGAAGCATGTTTGCTTATGTTTAAGGTTGTGACATTGTGGTACAGAGCTCCTGAAGTGCTTCTTCATTCCAGTTATGCCACAGCTGTGGATATTTGGAGCATTGGGTGTATCATGGCTGAACTTTATAACAGAAAACCATTGTTTGAGGGAAAATCAGAAGTGGATCAACTCAACAGAATTTTTAGGTGAGTATTAAACTGGCATACACACTCTAAAAAATAAAAGGGCCAATCAGAGTCTGCATAACATGAGCAAATCCCATAGTCATAATTTATTAATAAAGGGACATACTAAGTTTCAATATTTCTGGTTTTTGAGGTAAACAAATCTTAATTTTATTTCATAAATAGAGGATATTACATGCCCGTGCGTGCATGGATAGGAGTTGATCACAAGAAGATAAAATTTGTATCCACAAGCGGGCACATAATATTCTGTTTATGATATAGACACTGATAGCGAGATGCAGCGATGCTCTCTTCCTATTGGCTAAGACTGAAGTTGCCATGACAACCGTGATATCTTCACATGTGAAGGATAAAAATTGTATCTTCACTGGATACCAAATTTTCGTCACTGGAAAAATCCTGGTATTTCATCGGTGTCTATAATTATAATAAATAGAGATGTCCCAGTTTCTTTAAATAATTAATATATTCTTCAAAATGTGTCAGTTAATAAAATGCTAAGAGGACTGAGTGAAGTCCAATTCTGTCTGTAATCATATTTGTGATTAAACAAATCGGACTCCTGTTGTTTTGATTTGTTTAATCATGAATACAATTACAGACAGAATTGGACTCCACTCAGTTGGACGAAACGAAGTTCTGTTACCAATTAATCATAACTATAACAAAATTTGTGATGTTTTAGCCCTCAACACAAGACAACACAAGAAATTCTATGAGTTTTCTTACATGCTGTGAAAAAAAGCCATTCAAGTGTGCATGTGCGATGGTGCATACTGTCCAATTTCTTAGGCATGACGTGTACCATCCTTTTACACTGTCGGGGGGGGGGGGG